TAACATAACAAAATTATAATAGTGCACTTTATACATCAATACGTTGCACTTTATAAACAGTACGTCGCACTTTATGACATAAGACCATGCACTTTATCACGACTATAAGATCGCACTTTAATGAAAAAATTCTACCTAACATGTTATGATTTTATATAAATATTTTTAGATAACAAGTGAATATTTCTTAAAAAAATTAATATTATTGTTAGAACTTGAAATATGCTATAATATTTATTTGACCAAAATATTATCAACATAAATCACGAAAAATCAATCTTGTAATTTATTATAATGAATATCAATGAAATTATTGCATATAATAATAAAATTATTTAATGAAACAATATTTTTTATCATATCTGATTTGATTTTATTTCAAAACGTGTATATGAAAACAATTAATGCATATATTTAAAAAATTTCCAAAATAAGGTATGCTTTAAATGCTCCAAAAATTTTTTACTACTATTTTTAGTAAATGGTTATTCTTATTATATATATAGAGATATAGATATATAGATAGAGATATTAATATTATTGTTATTATTATTATTATTGTTATTATTATTATTATTATTATTATTATTATTATAAAGAGGAGCAACAAAGCATAAAATTATATTATCATGCGTTAAATTTTATTCTCCCTCCAAAATTTTCAACATTCAATTTCATTTTTTAAGTTACAAAATAACTTGCTTCAATGTCATAAATTATGAGCATAAACCAATCAAGGGAATTACAAAATTGTACTCATTGTTTAAGTCACACTCACTCATAAAAATGGCCGGGTGTATTAGCATAAAGAAAATGGTTTGTAACGGCTCTTCCATAGCAATTACTTGATCAAAATCAATTTTGAGAATTATTTTCTTAATTCATATTTTTTTTCATGTATTAAATTATGATTTTTTTTTATATTGTTATCTTTTTAAAGTATTTTTTTTCTGTACAAATGCACAAGTTGATTACTAGTACATGTCGAACACCAAGCACAAAAGCACCCTTTGAAATCAACTGACCAGATCATGTGAAATATATGCAAGGCAGATCCATAAGTACACAAAGGAGGTTTGGTAATTTTGGTGTTCTACTGCAACTTGTTTATCAAACATCACTAATACGCACCATCAAAGGATCTTATCCAGATTGTTGTGTTAATGATACAAAACAAGAATCTTATCCCAACTCCAACAAAACACAGACTTTACATTGCTGATAAAAACATGTAGAAAGCCAAAAACTATCATTCTTTACGTAATAGCAACTTACTTACTAAACAGCAGTCCGTGGCCTTTTGGGGTCTGATCGATCAAACGGCGCAACAAATGGACCATACTTCTTTTCCCACTGACTCTTAAACATATCGACCAGATCATTAAAGAGCATGTAATAGCAGAATTGAACAAAAAAAAAAATAAAAAAAAAATTACTAAATAAACTAATTAAGTACAATAGATCAACAACATCTAAATTAAACCTACCATGATGAGCAACGAATCAAGTGTCTCATTTAATCCATTTAGATCATGTTTTATGCCCGCACCTTGGCTTCCCACATCATCCGAGGAAGAATGCTAATAAAAATAACTAAGATAGAGGTTTTAAGCTCAACATAAAGTCATATAAAACAAATATTTAAATTAGCATCAATATCATAAATTATACCTCTAGATATTGTCTCCAGAAACGTTTTCTTTCTACAATCATAGCACGACTAGTCTTGGTAATATACGCTCTGATTTCTCTCCCCATTAGCGTTTTCTCTTCTATGGGGCAAATTTTTGAACCGAGCTCTTCAGCTTCAACGTACAATTCCTCAACTGGAAATTTCTTGACCAACTACGGGTAATTGATATTATGTACGCAGTAATAGGCCCAATCAGAGAAGCATAAAAAAAGAAGAAAAATGGGAAAGGCTAGGACAATAGCAATAGGTGAAAATTCTTTACCTCAATCTGTTTTTCAATGAAACATTTTGAAATTGAAGGGGCGAGCATTTTTCCCTCTGCTTCAGCAGCTTTTTTTTTTCCTGCTCATGTTCATCTTCCACCTGAGCAATAACATGAAGAAGAGCAGAAGCCCTACCGTTAGCCTTTGTTCGCTGGTAGCGTAAGACCTGTTAACAACAACACCTACAATTAATTGAAATCGTATTCAAGAGCTGTATACAAAAAAATCCAAACTAAAGAAAATGGTACAACTGTTTTGCTTATACCAAATTTAGCGTGTGTGTGTGTCTGTGTGTGTTTGGTGAATCAAGAATTGAATATCTAAGTATCTAACATAATATCTTACCCCAGGAGCAATTGGGGCACGTTTGACATAATGTTCCTTATCGTACTTAGCAGTCTCTATACTTCTGACCACCCCATTATCTTTTAGCATATGAGCTAATCGAAGGAAGACGGTTTCCAGATTAGCAGTTGCAGGGTCCTCCTCAAGTTGAAATGGAGTTCCCAACTTCTGGAATTAAAAATATAGTTGAAAAACAAAAAAAATGTCAAAAATTTTCATGAAAAGACGGTGAATAAAGAGGAGAGGCACAAAATTACTACCTCAGATAATGCTTCGAGTTTTCGGAAAAGCAAATCGAGCATATCTACCGTCCACCTAGCGGCGTTGACAAGACTCAAACAGAGTGATTCATCCAAATCCACTTGGGCAAGGTAATTCTACCCCCAAATTCAAAGGAAACAAAATAAATAGACAAATAACGTAAGAAACTAGGACTTTTGTCATTGATACTCACATAGACTTGTTTCTTTTTTGACTTAATCTCGTCCTCAAACCGCTTGAGCTTCGCAATTTTGGAAAGGCATTCGCCGCAGGAGCAGGCTATGGTGAAATCAGGACCTGGTGAGAACAAACGACAGGTTTCGGCTTGTTGCATTTCCTCTAATGCTTCCTCGAAAGATTTTTTAGGTTTATCGTTTGTCATTACATTTTCTTTTGCGATTGCTCCACCTACAGATACAGACATCCTTAAAGTTTGATTTTCTAAAGAAAAAACAAAAACAAAAAAGCAGGGAATTACGTTATGGATTTGAGGGAAGAAGACGATGAAGAAAGATCGGATTCGTGGAAGAAAAAGAAGGGAATAGACAGGCTCTTGATTGGCCGTGGGTGGATTCTTGATGGGCCGGAGTGTGCGTATATTGGATATCATCGATTTAGGCCATTTGCAGCCCTTATATCTACTGTAGCGCGGATTTTACTCTATTTTAAAGTAGAGTTGAACATTCATTTCCAACTCTTATCTCTACATTTTACTCTACATCAAATATATTATTTTTTATTTATTTTTATTTCAAATAAATTGATATATATGTATAATTAATCTTATATAAAATGTTAATTACTCAAATAATAAAAATATTTTTATTCATATGGTACCATTTTAATATTAAAAATACAAAATGAAATTATAATACATCAATAAACAAAAAATACAAAATTAGCACAAAAAATACATTGCACAAAGTTGTTTAACATAAAAATACATTTATTAGTACACATTATACAAAAATTTATCAATATTACATTACAAAAAAAAATAAAAAAATATGTAGAGTTGTTACAGTGTTGCGCCACATCTGGCGCAACACTGTTCACATATCTATTGTGGGGTAGAAAATTGGCGCAGCACTGGAGAAGATTTCTACGCCAGAGTAGCGTTCCTCCCCAGAGATAGCGCAGCACTGGGGAGGCTCTTAAGGCTTTACTAGTAATCCATATGCACATATTATAAAATTAACAATATAAACTTATATTTAACAATTAAAATAAAAACTATTTAACAGTGTATCACATTTATAATTAAACTATTATATATATATATATATATTACAACAAAAAAAAGTAGATATGTAGCAGTAATATTGTAACAGTTACACCAAAATATAATATTACTTACCATTTATCAGAATAACAAAAAGCACATTAAATCACTTTCTAAAAAATGATAAATTTGACATGTAACGTTTTTTTTTTTCTCGCGGGAAACTTATATAGGTTTTATTTATTGCTGTCAACAATAATATGTGTATATATATATATGTGTGTGTGTGTGTGTGTGTGTGAGTGTGTGAGTGAGTGAGTGTGTTAGCGCGCACGCGCGCTCTACAAATGTATTTGTGAAGATAAATTATGGCCAACTGACATATCTACTGTGGTTGGTAACTAAGTGCAAATTTATTTGCACATGTACTATACCACACCTATTTAATTAGGTAAATATGTTTAGTAGGGCTGCAGGCTAGGTTGGAGTGTCTCATCGGTAATATCACTTGACAAGTGACAAATATAGTATTGTTTCCAGGGCTTGAGTGTGTGCTAGGGTCCGACCTTATCGATTCTTCGGACCGGAATTCATCTGCAACTTTAGTTGTCTTCATCTTTTGATCTTTGGGGTCTTCTTTATGCATTGTGCATTTTGTAAGGTCGACCTCGTCCTCCGGTGTCACAGTGCCGACTTAAGAATATGTTATGCGCATCGTTCCCAATAACTTTGTTCCTTGTCGAGCCCGGACTTTTTGTCTTCCAAATGCCAACCTTACTTCGAGCTGATAGACGCCTCACCGAGGCTCCCTGTCCTCAAATTATTGCTTATGATCCAACTCGGATGTCAACAAAAGTAATATGATATTTTTTTATTTCATTAAGTAACAATAAATATAATTATGTTTTTATTCGACTTTCCCATCCTTTAATTTATACATATGGATTCTTGAAAACATTTTATTATTTAGGATACTCTTTTAACAATTTACTATATTTATTATAAAAAATTAAATACATTTATTTTATAATTTCAACAATGTTCACAAGAACAAATTAACTTTTTTAAATTCATTCAAATATGACAATTGACCCATTTATCAATGGCAATTTAGTTAAAAATTACCCTGATTTACCGCAGGGCTTGACACGTGTATTGGCGCTAAATCAAACCTTCAACCCGCGAAACATTATTTCATTCCCGGGTTGTTTTCCATATTCTTTTTAACCCAAAAAAACTCCTCAAATCCCAATCTCTCTCTCTCTCTCAGTCACCCTCTCACTGTTAGATTTCATCTCTTTCCAAATGCCATCTCTTAAAAGGAGAACCCAAGCTCCGAACCCGTTTCCATCCGAGACCGGATCCGAATCGAAGCGTGAAGGAGGAGAGGAAGATTACAGCGATGCGTGTTGCGTGAAATGCGGGTCGGGTCAGCACCCGGCGGAGCTTCTGCTCTGCGATAAATGCGACCGTGGGTTTCATCTGTTTTGCCTCCGGCCGCCACTCTCCGCCGTCCCTAAAGGCCGCTGGTTTTGCCCGTCATGCTCGAGTCACCAAAATTTTGCAAGTATGTTTGATGGGTTTTTTTTAATAATGACTATTTTTCATTTTATTGGCTCGATCTATATAGATTTATAGGTAGGTCTCTTCTTGTGGGCTCAAGAAATGGTAATACGCTTCAAGCTGCATTATTTGTATAGTGGGCATTTCAATAGAATTATTTTGTTTACTGATTTCCTCTCATTTTTGGTATTGGTTCATTGAGGCGTTTTGTTTGTTTGTATGTTTAATTAAAGTTTAGGGATTTAGTTTTGTTAATTAATCTGTCATTGGTGTATATATTGAATCATGTGCTGTTGTTATTTCTTCCAGTTTAATGTGACAGTGGTAGTAATTTTGTTTCCATGTTTGTGATGATTAGAACATATAATAGTTATTGGATATGTATTTATCAATTTGTGGGGATGTGTTTTATGTACCTGTGGAAGAGTATAATTCATTGGCAAAAATTATGTTTGAGCATGTGCTTAGAGCTGTATCAATGGTGAATTGATGTTTGGTTCCCTCACCATTTGATTTCTATTTAGTACCGATTTACATGTATCCACAATTTACAAGCTCACCAACATGTTTTAACATTCATTGGGAATGCTCTAGCTAGAATTCCAAATTGTTAAATGTTAATTACTGTTGAGCATTTCTGTTTGTAAAATTAGTAAGTGGACAATATGCTGATTGCATTACTTGATCAGCTAACACATGGACTTCATTAAGACTTAATTGGGTGTAGTTCTTTTGTAAATCCTTCCCAATATTGTGTGTTTGCTGTCTTTTATTCTTACTTACACCGTAAAAACAAGATAGATGGATTAGTGTTTTGTTTAGATTCTTGAGGATTATAAGTTAATTCATCCTATTATTATTTCAAAGCTGTCCATTGTATTGAAGCTTCTGCTCAATTGACTTTTGCAGATTTCCCTCTAGTCCAAACCAAAATAGTAGATTTTTTCCGGATTCAAAAGTGCTCAGGGTCTACAGAGAAGCTAAACTCAGGTGAAACAAAGAAAGAAAACGAGAAATCCAGTTTTTTCTTGTCTTAATTACTTACTACAGAAGACTAAGCTCTTGATGATATTTATACCTTTTGGACCCCAGATTGTAGAAAGAGACGAAAGCGAACTGGCGTCGTGTCTTTCTCAAAGAAAAAAAGTAGGAAATTGTTGCCCTTTAACCCGAGCGAGGACCCAACTAGGAGATTGGAACAGATGGCTTCTCTAGCTACAGCATTAACAGCAACAGGGACTGAGTTCAGCAATGAGTTGACTTATATCACTGGCATGGCCCCAAAGTCAGCAAATCGTGCTGCCCTTGAAAGAGATGGAATGCAGGTATTTCTTTCTTTCCTGTTTTTTTGGTACTGATGTCAATTGAGTGAATATCTTTTACTTATGGAACACTTTCACAAACAAATTCAGGTCTTGTCAAAGGACAATAAAGAAACATTGGATCTCTGTAAGAACATGATGGAAAGAGGAGAATGGCCGCCGCTCATGGTTGTTTTTGATCCACGAGAAGGGTTTGTTTCCCCCATCTCCATTTTTCCTTCTCGTTTTCCCTGTCAATTACGATGCTATAGCATTGTGCCTTCAGTAATAATTTTTTTTTTTTCCGTTTCTTTTCAATCTAAACAGATACACTGTGGAAGCTGATAGAAACATAAGAGATTTGACGATAATCACAGAGTATGTTGGGGATGTTGACTACCTAAAAAACCGTGAAAATGACGATGGTGACAGCATAATGACCCTCCTCACGGCCCATGACCCTTCCAAGAGCCTCGTAATTTGCCCTGATAAGAGAAGCAACATTGCCCGATTTATCAATGGCATCAATAATTACATACCGTATGTTCTTACTCCTTGTACATACTAAATAATTACCTTAGATGATTTATCTTGGCTGTTTATGTAAAGTTGTGGGTGTGTTTTAGGAATACTGAAAGTCATACTAGTCCTGGACTTCTGTTATTTGCAAACGACATGCAATCATTATTATAGGTGGTGAAATGAAAAGAGGCATAATGTTGGGTAAGTTGGGTAAATAAGTTGGGTAAATGTTTATTTCTGCCAAAATGAAGAATTCAAAACCATATCACAACTGTTTTGTTTTGTTCAAATTCTGTAGGCTCGAAACCAAAAGTTGGTTGGAGGCAATTTTTTGTTTTCCCTAGTTTAAAAAGATAAATCAGTATTTAGTGATTGGCTGATTGCAAACAGACATTTGGTCTCAATCATATGATAAACTTGGTTACAGTTAACCAATCCAAATGTTGACATATCTCATGCAAATTTCATCTCTCAAATCTTGCAAAGTGTGACTCGTGCTGATGCTACGCTGTCATGTGGGCTGTGAATGCAGGGGCGGGAAAAAGAAGCAAAATGTGAAATGTTTGAGGTTTAATGTTAATGGCGAAAGTCGAGTTCTTTTGATTGCAAGCAGAGACATAAAAAAAGGAGAGAGACTGTACTATGACTACAATGGGTATGAAAATGAATACCCTACCGAACACTTTGTCTGAGCTCATTTTGGATCCCTACTCAACCCAGACATGTAAGAAGTTGGTCTTAACTCAGTAGTTCCATTCATATGCACTTAGCTTAATTATATTGGTCTCTTCCATAGCTGCTGCAAAAGCTGCTAAAAAATGTAGGTGCTTATGTATTCCTGAGGTTAGCCTATCGTATAATCAAGTGCAGCCATCTTAATTTAACCACCTTGTTTTGAATTTCTAGAAAAATTTTCTGAATTCGATATCCATCTTGATTATTTTGTAATTGAAATTTTGATGGTCCGAATTATAAATTATTGATCTACGGTGATGAGAATGTCTTTATGATGTGGTGGTGGGAAGATTCGATTCTACATGTATGTGTAGTGCTCACATCATTTCTCACAATTACATGCACACACATACATATTCACATCGTTATGTGTTGATCTAATGATGAGGAACTTGTGCACACTTGTATGGTGAAATCTATTGTGGGACTTGTGACAATTAAGCTAAAAAGTTGAACAGAAAATTCTACTTACGTTAGAAATAATATGTACATTTAGTGGGGCAAAACAATGCAAAATAAACCACGAGGATTGTCTTGTGGAGCAATTTTATGTACCAAATGCAGTGACTTAAACCAAAATCAAAAGTGAGGCCTTATCGCCACATGCAACAAAGTTTAAGACACCAAGTCTCAATATCATCATCATCATTATTTACCTTTTTGCACACGCGGCAAGATAAATGTTTGAGTGTTGTGAATGTAGTATTAATTATAAATTATTTTTGGGTGACAGGCTCAGTAGCAGTAATAGGTTGGACTGCAGCCCAAAAACTTATGAAGCTAATCCGATATTAGGACCACCCAACGTTTTTGAACACCTCTGAAGAAAAATGTCACGAGTCCATAGAGTAGTCCAATTTAGCCCTTTATTACCCATCAACTTGCCAGCCCGTCAGATATTTACCTGCTAATGTTATCACCACAATAGCACAATTGTCTCATCTTAAAATGAATCACAAAATGCTGCCAAAAAGTTTTAAAANCATTGTACAAAATTTCTCCGCCTATTCCTTCTATAATCGAGCATCTTGGTCCCTCATTACAATCTTCATTCCACCCGAAATTCTAGAAATTTCTTGAGAGTTAGAATGGATTCGTGGACCAAATGGTTGAATGTCATACTTTTATTTATGTTATTTTTGTATGTATAAAACTTGTTTATGAAAGTATATATATTTATTAAAAAAAATATAATTATGTTTGGGTTAAGTATGTCTAACAACAACTTACCGGAATTACAAATAAATAAAATCTTCAACTGCTAGGCCCAAACTCGGCCCAACAAGGATCTGCTCATATCCACATCCATTTCTTGTTATTCGGAGTCCCGTTTCTTGTTCTCCCATTTATCCTGTCCTTTCGAATCCGTGAGCAATTCCGTGTTATTTTTTATTTATTTATTTATTTTTTTATTCTTAGAAAATCTTTAAAGAATGTCTGAAGGTGGAGCAATCCAAAAGGAAAAGGTAAACACAGCCGAGGAGGAATACAAGGGCCAGAAACAATTTCTTGAAGCATTAGCCGCAATTGAACAAGCAGAAGATGGTCTTCTGTTTTCACCAGGCCCCGATTTTCGCTTAGCTTGCCCCTGCGATGATTGTCTTCCCAAAATCATAAAGCTGGAGGAGTTTGAAGAAGAGATTAAGGCTATAAACAAACTAATCTTGGTGAGTACTACAATGACAAACGTCCTAGGTTTCTTCCTTTACTTATCTATCTTCTTCTTTGAATCTGTGGCAGGATTACATGGGGAAACTGGGTGATGACGAGGAACTATGTATGACACTTCTTTCCGCCGCTGAGTGGACAGTTGATTTTCTCAACTTCTTTCTCCGACAACTCGAAGCATTATATAAGGTAGTGATTTGTATTCACTGACGTAAAGATATAACATTCTTTTCTTTTAATTATATTAATTTCAGATTGAGCCTCCACTTAAAAAAGACCCCACAGTTGCCAAATTTCACGACGTCTATCAAAGATTCATTCAAATGATGAGTGAAAACGGGATGGTCGACAGAAGAGGTGATCCTTCTGATTATAATAAGGGAGGTTATGTCACTTCTGTTGCATATGAAATCGATGTTGGGGTAAGATGTTGTGTTAGAATTCAGTTATATGTTCCCCAAATGCACACACACATTATATTAATTTGGCATGAACAAATAATTCTGCCATTTTCATTAGTTTGGATTTATTATATACAGTTCGGTAATGTTTTTAGTTAATTGTAAGGTGCTATTGTTAAATGGTTTCCATCCTCTTGACAGATTTTCTATTACAAGCAAACTAAGTCTAGCAATGAGGCTTGTGATCTCATCCAACGTATTTCTGAAATTGAAAATGTTCACGAGCAGCAAAAGAAAGCCTCTGAATTAGAGGGAAAAAAGCTTGACCCTTCGATATCCATAAAGTATATGGAACGTCAGATTGAGGTAAAGTTTACTACCTACAGTTTGAGCAGTTTCTGTTTTCTCTTCTTTTGTGTATACCTCTAATTTGGACAAATAACTGTGTATATAAAATACAATTACTATAGTTGGTAAAGCAATTACCGATGGAGAAATTGTACTCTGAAGCCGTATACCTCATTCCAAAAGTTTGCCCTATAGACAAGATTAGGCCAATGGTGTGCGAAGCCATAGATTATGTTGCTAAGATTAGCGGTGCAATGGTTAAAGAAAGAGTGCGTTTCTGGCGACAATTTCAAGAGGTATAATCTATATTTTTTTATGTTAATTTTAGTATTGTTTTTAAGTAGCTGTTCTTAAATCATCTTTTTTAATTATTTTCATCAGCATCCTTCCTCGGAGGACGCGGCAAGCAAGAGCATGGGCAAAAGACACAATTTGAATGGATTGAATGAGAAGCTCGAATCATTGGTCACCATGGTAGGTTGAATTTGATTGTTGCTGGTCAATTGCATTTATTGTTTCATTTATTTTATTTGTCGATCGATTTTTATTGAGTTCTTATTTAATGATCAGGTTGATGAGTTCAAGAGTCACTGGGAGAGGAGGTATGACCCTTTCTTTACTCGATTTGATCGATCAGATCCTAAAAGGCAACGGAAAGTTAATAGCTAGTTGTCGTGCCAAAACAAAGACAACATTATTTGGTTTTTGCCTGTATTTATCAACTGTTGTGGAGGTGTTTTGGTGATGTGAGGATATTATGTACTCACCAACTTTTGTGGAGTTGTTATATTGAATTGGACATAAGTCCTGTATTGTATTAACAGTCTAGATGCAATTTGCTGACTAGAAGCTGATTTGGTAGATGTCCACAAATCATTTCATACTGCAAATTAATTATTACCGAACCTCCTTTTTCCACTTATTGTTAGGAATCTATCTTGCATATATTTCACTTGAATTGCAGAGTGCTTGTGTTTGGTGTTTCATATGTATTTATCTCATATGAAGAATGAAGTTGTAGGATGCTTAGAATGATGACAGGGATTTTGATTTAAGTTATTCAAGAACACAAACAATCTTATATGGACGTGTTATGGATGTGTTAAGACTACTCAACTTCTCTCATTGAGAACTTCAACGTGTGTTAAGAGTTAAGACTATTGCTGTTGGTAAATCTTGTGCCTGGTCATTGCGCACATCTCGTTAGCAAAAGTAAATTCAATGCCTTATGTGTGTCATTAAAATTCAATGCCTCAACAAAAATCCTTCTCATCTCGTTAACAAAATCCATCATTAAAATTTTATCATGTGGTCAGTCTCAACAAATTTTTTTCTTAATTCATTTTTTTTTTTTTGGACTTCAATTTTTTGTCTTAGCATCTCATTGTCTGATCCCTCTTGAGTTCATCATCATATCTCTGAATATTTTATTTTCCTCGTTCATTGTTTTTATAACTGCAGTTACGTCTTCTCTCATTTCTCTTAAATTTTGATTTTTTAATGCCTAATGGTCATTGTGAATCTTGTGATGATGAACCACCACTAGTATTTTCATCGCTTAAATTAATAGAAAAATTAGATAGTGCATCTGATTGCGGTTGAGATGAAAATTTGTTTCGCCTGGTTGATGTGCACTCAAACAATGCAAAATCTTTCATAATATTCCACACATGATCGTACTTGAATGGTTTATTACTTTTATTTTTTGGATTTTGCGAATAAACTACATTCGCACGCTCCATCTACAATGTGAAAATAAATAGCATTAGAAAATATTAAATTTTTTTATAAATATAAATAAATAATGCTTGTAAAATTTTTACCACATCATGTTCAGAAGCTCCACTGACGTTTGCATTTTCAATTTGCTTACACAAGATTTTAAAAGTTTAATAGCAAAAGAAAAAAATAAAAAAAAAAGACCCGAACTTGCTCGGTATTAGCACAGGTCGGGTCAAGGACCCATACATACGGGCCGGTGTATGATGGTGTTGCATATTAACTCGTAAATCTTACGTGAATCTATTAATATGTCAAATAGATAACTGCGTTTATTTTTTAAGATTAAGTTTAATAATAAAAGTCGACTTTTAGTTTATAATAATACCTTTTTAAGCATAATGTCATTACGTTATTTTCAGCTGTTAAATTTCCTATATTTTAGATGATATATGCAAATATTTTAGAAATTTAATTTATTAATTTCCTAATGATAATCAGAGTTGTTTAAGTTCAATTTTTGTTTAATAAAATGCGTGTGTGCGTGATTTTAGTGTGCAATAATTATGGAATGATTCTATTAAGATATCTACAAATAATTGACAAAAAAATCTAACCAAATCTGTAAGTGATTAAAAAAATCAGATTGTAGAATTAGATAAGCCCTAGTAAATCTATTAACATTGATTAGGATGTTTGTTATATAAAATATATTAACATTTTTGTCTCAATATTTAACTCTTTTGATTGATATCTAAATTACTAATCGAAAAATGTGGTAATTTTTAACAGTATGAATATTTATACGAAATTTGTAAAAATCAAATTGTTGTATTGATTTAATCGGATAAATATTGAGTAGAATTAGATAAGTCCTAGTAAATCTATTAACATATTTATTTATTAACATTGATTAGGATGTTTGTTATATAAAATCTATTAACATATTTATCTCAATACTTAACTATTTTGATTGATATCTAAATTACTAATCGAAAAAACGTGGCAATTTTTAACAGTATGAATATTTAAATGAAATTTGTAAAACTCAAATTGTTGTTTTGATTTAAATGGATTAGGATGTTAGTTATATCAAATATTTTTTACATATTTATCTCCATGATGAACCGTTTTGATTTATATCTAAATTAGTAATTACAAAAATTGTGGTAATTTAGAAGTCATTATCAATTTAAACTAAATTTGAAAACACCGATCTATTGAATTGATATAAATTGTCGAAAAATTGGTAATGACAATCAACATTTAAGTATTAATTCATTAATATAAATTAATCAACATATAAGTATTAAATCATTAATATTAATTATTATACTTATATTATAACAAATTTTAGTTAATATTTATAGAGATCAATTTAAAATATAATAATCATTATTTACACATGAAATCGAATCGAATAATAAATAATACTTGTTATAGTCTCAAAATATAAATAAATATTATGCAATCCTATGAATGCCATGGAATAAAATTATCAGCAATAATAAACAACTTGAAGTAAAATTTTAATATAACCATTTCATAATTTCCTAAGAAAGCCATATCTAGGAATCCTCATTAGTGATGAGGAAAATTTTCATCGTACGACAATACATTAATGAGGAAAATTTCCATCGTATGACAATACATTAGTCTTTGGATGAAGCACATGCATCCATTTGTGGCCGGTTCCATTGATCCTCTGATTATTGAATTCAACTTATAGTTGTGAATTGCATAAAGTTTGCCTTCTTTGAACACATCTTGATACAATCTCATGCTTCGAGAACGGATGATGCCATTTATGTGTGAACACTACAGTAAAAATTTATACAATTAACTAAAATAATTTATATAATTTTGTATGTTTCATAAAACACTTGAAATGCTTACATCTTCATCGTGAAACAGGATCTGAAAATTGTTCTTGCACTGCAGCTCGAAATGCGATTCAAGAATTTTGACTACTCTTAATGTCAAATACGATTGGGTGGCCCTATTGACGTCCTCCAGTGTACCAGAATCGTGCTATTTGTTTTTTTTTCTCTCTGTATTTCGAAATATCTGTATGTGTATTTTTTTTCAATGCACCTTTGGAGAAGATGATAAACAAATGTATTTATACAGGTAGGATTCTCTTAATATTTGCGTCATTTTTTTTTATTAAGATATCTACAAATATTTGGCATAAAAATCTGACCAAATCTTTAAGTGAAAAATAAATAAAATCATTTCACCGGCGGGCATATAGGCTGAAATCAATTAAAAAAACCACCAAATATTTCGAAATGATAACTGGGCGCGCTTATTCAATTTCTTGCCAAAAATCTTGCCCATTATAGTAAACTTTAGGAGAGAATTGAAATAATTTTTTTGCCGATTTTTCAGTTACTTTTTCTAGTAAATATCATTCCTTCTTTATATATTAATAGATATAGATTCTTGTACCACAAAAACATGTTACCATAAAAATACTGGTTCACCTTAAGAAAATGATTTTGACAAAATCAATACAAACAGAATCCCTATTTCATGGATCCTCCTTCCTATGCAATTAATATTTTTTTTGTATTTAATATGTGTCTGATAATTCTTTTTTGGAAAGTCATTAATTATTTTGGTGGGAAATTGTTACTAAAAATGATTTAAATTAATTCCTATTACATATATATAGATATAGATAATACTAACAAAATACAACATCTAGTTCTAACTAATTTACTAACATAAAAAACTAATCCTATACTAACGCCACTAGCAAACTAACTCACTCTTTAACCAAGTAACTCACACGATAACTAATAATATCAGTTTTGTTATGGAGTCATCGGATTACTCGACTTATGAAGTCATCCATACTTATTCACTAATAGTGTATTGACACGTGTCCTACAATAAATACAATTTGAACAGATGTCAACACACTAAATGGTGGATGACTCCATAAAATTTTTGCTAATAATACTAACAAACTAATTAACTAATTAAATATATAATTAATCTATTTAGTAATCTTCTAGAAACTTCGCGACCCTTGCTCCTCAAGTCACTCCTACAATTCTTGCGTCCCAAGTAGCTCGTGCGTGTTGTCTCGTCCACGGCGCCTCATTTCAACCCTTCGCACGGTCTCACCCGATTGGATCTGCCCTCGACTCTCGGCGTGCTCGGGCCTCGAAACCTCCATTCTCATCAACATCTCTCGGCGTCTTTACAGGTTTCCAGAGAATAAATCGGTCGAGAAGTTGTCGAGAGTGTGTTCGAGGTGCAACTGTACATCAACACCCACATAGTTATTTTACAAGATTATATAATTTTATTTGAAAATGACATATTTTAAAAATATGCATTTCTATGACAAGTTGAACCGCCTATATGTAAGGACCCTTCTTCCGACCCGGAACCCACGGGGCAAAAAAAAAAAAAGACCCCGAACCAGTCCAGTATTACCACGGGTCCAGTTCAAAGACCTGTACATACGGGCCGGTTCCGGGTCGATCCTGGCATCGTCTACACTCACAATATTCCATTTCTTACTTTGGGATTCATTCAGTATATTTTGTGACTTTGTCCTTGAAAAATTCTGCATCACCTTATGCTAAATTGATCCCAGTAATCTGCTGATCAATATTTGATTCCAAAATTTAGAGGCAATCATTTTTCTTGGTCTATTATCTCGATATTTGATGGTGACTTTTTATCCTTTTATTATAATATTTTTTGCCCATGCCTTGTAAAAACAAAAAAGGTCAGAGTGTTTGGTTCAAATTAATTCGGGTTATTAATCAAAAGTACTAATACTGCACAATACAGTCCGGGTGGAAAATGGATATCAAATCAATTTTTATAGAAAAATAATTTTAAACATGATGCATGAGTTGAATTTGACACCTTTCCTATGGAGTCAACTGTTGGCTTTATAGCAAAACTGTGAATTTTGAAAGGCAAACTCGATGATTTTTCTGAAATGTTCAGTATATTTTAATTTTATTTCTCTTATGCCGGTACATTTTTCCAATTTTACAATTTCACCTATTAATTCAAAATTTAAAATTGATTTTAATTTTTTATTCTTTACATAATGAAAATTGAAAAAAATAAAGTAAAATATAAATTACAAACCTGGTATCCGAAATTAGTGTTGTTTATGGTAAGCTAAAAATAGAATATTGATTATTGAACTCTTATTTAGAGAAATGTCATTATGCACTACAATATAAAATTGATGATAAAATATATATAATTATATATTATACATATAAAATAAATAAAAAATTAAATATTAATCAAATTGTTCGACTACTGCCCAACCAATGAACTATTGGACGGGTAACTTAATTGATTCGATGATCGATTCGATTTTCAGAATCTTATTAAAACCAAATGGCTCAATAGCATTATTGAAATACCGAACAAAGAATAAATAAAAAAAAGGATTAGTACATTTAATTTTCATCCATGTCCCAACTATACATATATTCACGTTTGGTCACAATAATAAATAATTTTGAATTACAATTTACGAAAAATGCTACAATCCCGTTATGGAACCATTCTGTTAGGATTTATAACCGTTAGATCATCAAATAACCGTCAATGATATGATAGTTGATCTACGGTTACAAATCTCAACGGAATGGCTCCGTAACGAGATTGTAGCTTACCCACAATTTACATTACACAATTTCATAACATTTCCAAGAAAATAATAAATTATTGTTCCAACTTCCAACAACTAGTGCCTTTAACATGTTTTCTTGCACGGTTTCTTAAGCTTCAAATTAGAAGAAAAAAAAAAAGTATAAATAAAATATTTTTCCTCTCTCTTAATGTTACACAGTCTATTTAATATCTCCATATCTTTTTCTGTAAACAAAATCAGCTTTATTTCAATTACAGTCTATTTAACATCTCCATATCTTATCTGCTTTATTTCAAACTTGTTTTCCGAAATTGGGGCTTTCTCATCTCCTCGGCGCGCAGGACTTACAGATCTTCTCTTAACAAAAAATCTCAACACAGCTTTACTTTAAATTTCAATCCCAAAATTGGAATTTTCTTCTTCCAACCATCTCCTCGCGCAGTCCTGCAGTGCACCAAAATAGATGGTTGATCTTGCTAATAGAATGGTTGATTTTGCTCCTCTCATTAATGGTTCATCAGGTAACAACAGTAATATTTGTGTGTATATATTTATATCAATATATAATCATAGTGTTCTTCGTTCTTCTTGTCTTAAATCCAAACTTTTTTTTTCTTCTTTGAAAATTTGCAAAAAAAAAAATGGCTCAGAATAATCCGTTCCCCCTGAGATCTGTACGGTTTCGTACCAACGGAGCTAGTGGACATTCTTACGACACTCTATTAGATGAGTGTTGGGAGATAGTTACTAATTCCGAACATTTGGGTATGGGTGTATTATAACAATTTTTTTCTTATCTGGTTATCTAACGGGGAGACTGTGGCAGATCTCGACGCTGAGATTTGCGTAGTTGCTCAAAAGTCTGATCTGTGCTTGGTGGGTTTTAAAGCTCGAAATATTGTTTCGTTTTTTAAAGATATCCATGAGGAAGTTATGCGAGGCATATTTTCTGAAGATGGTCAGCTTGATATTACTGGTTTTCAGTTCGAACATCTTTCTTTTGTAGCTTCTTACATTTATCTGGAAGAGTTTGCGGAAATTCCTGGGAATAGAATTTCATATGAGTTAGGTATAGAAAAGATGCATTTTTCTATTTCGCGGTTATTTCGTCTCGTACCAAAAATGAAAAATGCATATCGTTACATTAGTAGAGCCTTTTTACTTTATATACAAATGATATCGGAACCTCTTAGGATAAGCAAAATGTCCGGTCGAGTGCGAAGAATTGCTCAACCTATATATGATGGTGTTTATGTTACGTATAAACTCACTCCATATGATCTCAGTTGTGAAAACAATTGGGGAAGAATGTCTAATACGGCGCACGAGCAAAACAATCTGACGGATACTTTTGTTCCGGCCACAGAGCTGGAGGGAGATGAGTCTGTCGATGGATGTCTGTATCTGGATAATGCTGGGAAAATTAGAGGTGTCCTTAATCGGTTGAAAGCCAGAGATCCTGCTGGTAAGCAATAATTTAATTATTTTTGGTATTTTATAGTTAAATTTGTTTCAGGATTCATCGTTATATATCTTTTTATTTATGTGTGCAGATCCTCCTCCTGGATCGAGTGGCAAGAAATCTAAACATGGTGTGAAAGGAAAAAAGATCCGTAAGCATGAATTGATCTATTATGTTTTCCTTTACTTTATATTTTATTTTATGGGTTAAAAGATTAATTATCATGTATCTTACTTTATTTTTTTAATATTGAATAATTAGATGTGGTATTGGTGCTTTATAGCACTTTAGTTAAAGCTAAAATGAAATATAGCCATCTTTCTTAGAAAGATGAAATATAGCCATTTTGGTGAGTGAAAATAACTCATTGCCCTTAGATTTATTTTGCTGAATTTTTTCCTTTTTCACACTTTTCCCTTCTTCACTTCACCGTTCACGCCCCTCCTTTCACTTTAATTTTTCATTTTTCATTTTTCCCCCCTTCTCACAATTCAAGCTTCCTCTTTCATACGGCGAAATCGACTATTGAAGCCCCGTTCCACCAAAACTTGAAAAACATTTCAGAGAGTGCATCAAGTGCTCGAAATCGACTATTGAATCCGTTTAGTGCTCTCCTCTTCCGGCGATTTAAGGTGCGGTTCCTCTCATCGATTTTTTTTTCTTCTTGTGCTTGTACTCTCATCGATTTAAGGTGCTTGTCCTCGTCCATCGATTGCTCTCGTCCTACGCCCGCAAAGAGGCTCACGGCCGAGAATGATTTTTTTTTTTTTTGTATTTTTAGGCGCTTTTTAGGGTTTTTAGTAAAAATGTGTATTTTGAGTTCAATTATTTTTTTTTTCGATTGAAATGTGTATGGTTAAATTGTGGAAAGCCTATTCACGAAGGTGTATGTGTGTCTATGTGCTTCGATTCGGTAATTGTTGTTTTTGTTTTTTTTCCTTTTTCTTACTCTGTTGGAGGAGCCCCAATTTCTCAACTATCTTGGCCTTGAATTATTTCTCAACTATCTTGGCCTTGAATTATTTGGAAAAGTTGAGAAAATTAGTTACAGAATGAGAAAGAGGGAAATGAAGAACATGTTATGTTGTGTTTGAACCCTAAATTGCTTGAGTTGTGTTGTTGTACCTGTTATGTGTTTTCATTGTGTTTTCATTGCTGAGTCTATGTGTTTATTTGAATTTAAAATTCAGTACTTAGGGCCTTGTTAGTTGGCCTTGAATTCATGAGAAAATGCGAAAGAAAAGGGAGACTTAAGCTTTGTCCTTAGGTGTTTAAATCATAAGTGATTGGGGTCTTTTGAACCTAGTATAATGAGTTTTTATGTCCCTGAAAGTTGGGTGGTTCGAGCCGAAGAAAAAACATTAGAGAGTTTTTTGTTTTTGGAATGGATGTAAATGAGACTTTTTGAAGTGTAGTGTGCATTCTTAAATGTAACCTTTTTAGGATATTTTTCTTCAATTCTCATTTTTTGTAAAAATGTAAATTGAGACATTTCTTCATTTTCTTAATTTGAAAACAGATCTTCAAACAAACCCCTTAGCTCTTTGTGGTGCTTTTGTTGGAACACGGCAGAGATGACATCTACTGATGAGGTATGATGTTTTTTGGTGAACAAATATTTTTGTACTTTATGTGAGAAAAAGTATTTTTTTGTTCAAGAAACTGGTCAGTTTATGTTTCAGAATTTTAGATTTTTTGCTCAAGAAAGAGTTTTGTAGTGTATGTGAAAAAGATTCTGTTTTGTTGTTCAATGTTGAAGAAATTGTTTGTTGAACATAAAACAATATAGAAACCAGTTTCTTGAGCAAGAAACCTGTTCAAGAAATGTTCAAGAAATCTGTTTCTTCTTGAAACCAAGAAGAAACAGGTTTCTTGTCAAGAAACTGGTTCTCAAGAAACCTGTTTCTTGCTTAAGAAACCTGTTTCTTCAATTTCTTGAGCAAGAAACATGTTTCTTGCTCTGTTTCTTGCTCAAGAAACCTGTTTGCTTAAGAAGAAACCTGTTTCTTGCTCAAAAAACCTGTTTCTTGATCCAAGAAACCTGTTTCTTGATCCAAGAAACCTGTTTGACAGATTTGTATTTATATTATATTCTTTTATGTCTAAATATCTTGTTTTTATATAAGTACGAACTGTTAAAAAAAAATATTAATTAACTTCATGATTTTAGGGTGATAGTTGGACTTGGAGATGGCAGGAAGGTCGCAAGTGGCGTGGTAAAATAAATTGTCATACGAAGACAAAATTAATTAGCCACATAACGAAGCAACTAGAGGGTTGTGATCGACTTAGTGAGTTTAAACAATCATGTTTTGGTCAGTTTTTAAGTCTCGATGCAAGAGCGTTTTATAGTGGAAAGCTGTTGATTGTTTTACTTGGTAGAGAGGTAGTTGTAGATTCCGCTCTAGAGAACTACCGTTGGTTTAGAATAGGCGGTAAAAATTATAAATTTGGTAAAATTGAGTTTTGCCAAATTACCGGATTGAAGTTTGGGGTCTCGTCGTTCATCCTGGACGATAATGAGAGTATACCACCACCGAGAGATGGGGTATATCGCCGCCACTATGACGGACGTAGTTTAGTCGGTGGCGATTTGTTGAATGATTTCAACAACAGTAAATTTAAGGAGGAGCCCGACGATGCATTAAAGGTTGCACTGATATTGGTTGCTCATTTTTTCATCTTTTCACCCGATTCTAGAGTCACTGTACCAATTTGGTTGTGGACCTTAGTGGAGGATTTGGAGATGTTTGAGACATTTTCATGGGGAGCGTATTCATTCCAACGTATGTACCATTATCTTGATGTGGCTATCCGTGAGCCTGATGAGGGTGGTGAGGTTCAGTTCAACATCCATGCATACTTGATGCCTAATATTTTATGTTCCAAAAACTCTTTGGCGATCGAGGAGGAGGATGATGAGGATAATGTTCCACTACAAACACGACGTGTGAGGTTCTTGAGCAAAAATGTAAGTTCACCCTTTGTGAACTTACAACAGAAGGACGAAGAGGACAAATTGAGTCGCGCCTACAACAAATGGATGCACACTAGAGTTTTTTGACATTTGTTGTAGGCATCCATTTGAACTGAACCTCACCACCCTCCTTATCAGGCTCACGGATAGCCACATCAAGATAATGGTACAGACGTTGGAATGAATACGCACTCCATGGAAATGTCTCAAACATCTCCAAATCCTCCACTAAGGTCCACAACCAAATTGGTACAGCGGCTCCAGAATCGGGTGAAAAGATGAAGAAATGAGCAACCAATATCAGTGCAACCTTTAATGCATCGTCGGGCTCCTCCTTAAATTTACCGTTGTTGAAATCATTCAACAAATCGCCACCGACTAAACTACGTCCGTCATAGTGGCGGCGATATACCCCATCTCTCGGTGGTGGTATACTCTCATTCTCGTCCGGGATGAACGACGAGATCCCAAACTTCAACCCGGTAATTTGGCAAAACTCAATTTTACCAAATTTATAATTTTTACCGCCTATTCTAAATCAACTGTCGTTCTCTAGAGCGGAATCTACAACTACCTCTCTACCAAGTAAAGCAATCAATAGCTTCCACTATAAAACGCATTTGTATCGAAACTTAAAAACTGACCAAAACATGATTGTTTAAACTCACTAAGTCGGTCACAACCCTCTAGTTGCTTCGTTATGTGGCTAATTAATTTTGTCTTCGTATGACAATTTATTTTACCACGCCTACTCTAAACCAACGGTCGTTTTTTAGAGCGAAATCTACAACTACCTCTCTACCAAGTAAAGCAATCAATAGCTTTCATGTTATATGTTGAGGAAATCTTGAATCATACACTTTCATGTTAGCTGAACTATGTTAGATTTTTTATTTTTTTTTACCTGCGGAAATGAATCATTTGAAGTCCTAAGTTTCAGATTTGGGGCCTCTTATGTTTTGCTTATATGTTGAAAAACATGAAGCTTAATTCATGTGTTTAATTGCTTCATCCAATGTGTTCATGTATCTATTAGTTTAGGTTTTCCTTGCGCTGTAAATGTGTTCTATATGTGATGTTTTGGTGTGTATTATGTGAGCTTAATTTCGTTTTATTTATTTATTTTTGACCCCATTTTTTCCCTTCCCGAGTCGTTTTCTTTCTTAATATTCGAGAGTTCCAAATCCGTTAGAAATCCGTTCATCATTGGTTGTTGATTAAGTGTTATGATAGTTATTGATAGGGCCCTCTTAATTATTGTAGGTGTTTGACGAGCTGAGCTCTCAACCTACTCGTATTTCGAACTCGAATTAGTCCAATTGAAGTCAAATTAGTACAATCTCGATCAATTATAGTGTAATCGACCTCGAATTAGTCCAATTGAAGTTAAATTAGTACAATTGAAGTCAAATTAGTACAATCTCGGTTAATTATAGTGTAATCGACCTCGAATTAGTCCAATTGAAGTCAAATTAGTACAATACCGGCCAATTATAGTGTAATCGACCTCGAATTAGTCCAGTTGAAGTCAAATTAGTACAATTTCGGTCAATTATAGTGTAATCGATCTACAATTATTCCATATGAAGTCAAATTAGTACAATCTCGGTCAATTATATTGTAATCGACCTCGAATTGCTCCAATTGAAATCAAATTAGTACAATCTCGGTCAATTATAGTGTAATCGAACTCGAATTAGTCCAATTGAAGTCAAATTAGTACAATATCGGTCAATTATAGTGTAATCGAACTCGAATTAGTCTAATTGAAGTTGAATTAGTACAATCTCCGTCAATTATAGTGTAATCGACCTCGAATTAGTACAATTGAAGTCAAACTAGTACAATCTCGGTCAATTACAGTGTAATCGCCTGTTATCTTTTAAAAAACAAAAAATTAAAATAAAAAATAAACACGGATTTTTTTTTTTTTTGGTCGAAACGATAGAAACACGGATTTTGAAAATCTGTTTTTAATTTTTTTTTTAATAAAATAGAAAATAAATAAAAACGGATTATGAGAATCCGTTTTTTAACAACAAAAAAAATTAATAAATAAATAAAAACGGATTCTCAAAATCCGTGTTTCAAGATCCGACTGTTTTATTTTTTTCCAGACAGCTTTTTTTTGATTTATTTTTGTCCACATATTATTTTTTTTAATTAAATAAATGATTCGTTCAATTCACCTCATTTTTTCAAATTATTGCGAAATTTAACAAAAAATGAGGGGAATTTGGCCCAACCGAACTGCAAAAACCCATCCCAAAATCTGTTTTTGCCTTTCTCTCTCCTCGGTGAAATGCACATTCAACGCAAATCTTTTGCGTATGAACTTTTAATAATTGCAAAATGATCCCATATTTAATATAAATTAGATATCAAGCCAAATATTATATAATATATTATATATATGTATGTATGTGTATATATTATATTTAGTATTATTAATTATTATTTATTTATTGATTTTTTATTATTACATTATTAGTATACTTTTTAAAAAAAATTACAAACCATATTAATTTTAAAAATGCTTATTTAACGCATGAAAAAGACATTTGTATTACCAAA